GTTAGACTCAAGAAGCGTCTTCAGAGAATCAATATAAATTCCAACATGTTGGCCCATGCCATCACAGTTTTAAGGCTGAAGTTACCAGAACAAAATTTGCTGAACCATCATTGACACTTACGAATGTTCAAAAAATTTCCATAAACTTTTTTGATATTCTTTGTGACTACAGAGGCATTGTTTCTCTTCTTGTATTCAAACAGCATTACACGTTATATAGGCGACACTATATTATTATAGTTATGTATGGGTGTCATACCAATTTTTATTTGGTGGTTCGTTTAACTATTATATGTGATGTATGTTTTTTATGGGGTGGTTAATAAAAGTGTTCCAAAACACGACATTAATTTCTTGATAACCTAATAATGCACCTATGATGTCCGGCTTGGGGTTAAGAGTTAATATCCAGGAGTCATTGGTGCTGGAAGTTACAGTTTTGGTCACTGGTATTTTATGATTAAAGCACAACATAGATTTTACTGTTTATTTTTATAAAACTATTGATGCTAACAAGCCCATTCTTTTAAAGCAATTCTTTTTGGAATTGACTTGCATTTTATGGTGTACATTGATTATGGAAGCAAATTGGTGTCATTTTATATTTGTTAGCATTTAGAATTATTGTTGTGGCAATAGAAAAAACATGATCAATAAAATTTTATCAGACATTATTCAGTTATCAATATAATGTTTGGTTATGCTAGAGGAGGTTAAATTTAATGTTTGACAATATAAAAAATTAACTTGTCCATTGTTTGTATACTGAATAAGTGGAACAAGCATAGCATAATATGAGCTGTTAATTATTTTCTCAGGAATATTAAAATAATAATTCACTTATTTAGTAATCTAGAACTGATAAAAAAAATGCGATATTTTTATTTTTATGCTCTTATGTAGGACTATATTTCCACCCTAGTTTGTTTACAGTCCCTAGTTGTAGGCTTGAAAATATAATATTTGCATTTTGATTCAACTCGTTTCTGTACTTTTTGACGGTCCCTATTCCTCTTTTTAAATTAATAATTTTTATTAATCTTGTGAAATATAATAATAAAAATTCTTCACGAGGTATAATCGCGAGAAACTCGTGCGTTAAGTAATTCGATGTGGTAATATAAACTCAAAGGGCGAGAAAACAATAACATTAAGTAAAAACAAGTGAATGGAAACTCTGATTTGTGGTTAAACTCGGTCACAATGACCAAGACCGTAGCGACAGGGTTCATTTGCTCCATCCGTGTACTATTCTGAGCAGCTAACAGTCTACTAAAAGGTAGCGGAATGATACACACTGTCGGATATATATATTTTTCTTTACACACGTATTGTTAATTCAGTTGCGTGAATCTCTCAAATACAGTTACATTAGTTGATCCATTTGATTGTGATATGCAATACAGTTTTTGCAAATCTTAATTATTCTAAGCAAAAGAAGCTAGAAAAAAATGCAATACTCAATAATGAATAAGGGCCCCATATGCATACCATATACATCTTGATAATAGTTTTTCTCTAGAATTAGTTTCAGTGTTAGTAACATTATTTCATAGAGTACAACTTTTCTATCATGTTTCATCCATTATTGGAAATGAGAATTAAAGAAAAATTAATCGAACAGACAAGCAGTCAGACATGTATTCGAACATCGACCAAGACGACCCCAAATTATCTTGAAATGCTACAACTTATTTCAACCTTTCTACACAAAAAGCGCTGGGCATAAATATTTTTCAGGTAAAAGGGATTTTCAAAGATTATACTATCTTCACGAAAAGGTGAAAACGTTTTCCTTATTCATTTTCTCTTCTAAGTTAATACCACTTCAAAGATAGTGAATACATGTCACACGACAAACCACTCCATACAGAGGATAAACTTCCCACTCCTTGTCACTAAATTATATAGTACGTCGAATGAATTTTCTTCGTAGCCAGTAACAATCCACCCAAATGAAGAAAAAAAACTTTTGATATATATACACTAAAATAAAATATGCTCTCTTTACGTCCTATCCAAATGCAATAGACAAGAGTTATCATAACTCTGTAAAGAAAAGAGACTTTGTTATAAGTCTAAGTAATAGAATTACACTAAACATGCCTTTTTTTCTACCACTTAATATAATACATATTTCGAAACCACAGAAGCCTCACTACGCTAAGCAGAGCGACCTTCAAATTATTAAAGTACATGAATACATAAAATACAGAGAGCAGTCCGCCTACCTTAAATAGTTTCATTCAAAAAAACAACAAAAACAATATCATATACTCATTGGAGAAAAGTCACAAATGTACTTAAGAATCACGTCTAACTATTTCCATATTATACACACGTATGTGTATTTGCATTCTCAACCAAAACCAAACTGGTATCTCTATATTGTCTGGATTACTAGACTGTCGTCATAAAGTAATACATGCGAACTTCCACGGCTGTAATGTATCACGCTGCAATAGAATCCCTTATTGAGCTCGTGGGATACATTTGCACATGCTTTTTGTCTGTAGTCTACTGCAATACACATACATTAAATCAATACCTGAAGTAATGAAAAAACATGTAATCCTGGTTACACTTGTTGATGAGTTGTGTATATAGTTCATGACCAGTTTGTGGTATATTTTGTTAAACATTTGAATAAACGAATATTTGTGATTTAAACATTGTAAAAAGTGGGTTTAGGAAAATGTGAATGGATACTGATTATTTTAGGCCTCTTAGCATCAACGACTTTGTCTTTCAATGTGTTCTTAAATACCATTGGCTAAAATAGCATGAAACAAACTATGTTCCACAAATTGACTTATGGATTTTCCTTTGTTTAATTTATAATTTTATCATATTAAAATCATACAACATAGATCTCAAATCTCAAACAAGAACATATATAATTAACTTCGAAATACAATTTATAAAAGTAATAATCTTTACTAACCTGCAGTTCGCACCAAGCGACCGCTACTCCTGTGGCAGTGTCCAGGCCTTTATACACAGTTTTGAACGATCCGCGTCCAACTTCTTCCTCAAATTTAAGGAACCTACCATCCGGGGAACTGTCTCTTGCTTCAACCGCCTCATCTTCTGGAGCAGAATCAACGGCACCAGCAATTTTAATTTCATTAACAAAACCTTTTTTAAGCACTGCTATTTCTGAATCGCTTTTCGCTTCACTGTCACTTACCGGAACTTCCAAATTCTTTTGTGTAATTCTAAGTGCATTGTGCCCAGTGTGTTTACCAAATGACACATCTTTATTACCTGAATTTTGATGTTCTGTTCTTTCTATAAATTTGGGAAAGTTATTTTCATATTTAATTTCCTGGACATTAACTGTAATCCCAGAGTTTGAAGTGACACCCAATTGCAGATTATCTTCAACTGGCAGGTGGTTTTTCGTATTTTCAATATTCGTCGTTTTTGTAAAAGAAAATCTTCGCAGTAAGTGATCCTTAGATTGCGGGAAACATCGACTATTTTTCTTGGCATCTAATTTATCGTTATCCAGTATATTTGTTTTGCTTCCATCATTCTTTTGTTGAAAACTAATACCTTTGCTTGGCTTTATTTTATTCTCTACATATTCCTGTCTGTGTCTTACAACACATGGTTGATGTCTAGGTCTAGGAGGAGAAAGAATCTTCAAGAAGGCTACCTCGTGAGTCTCTTTTGAGGAATTAGGTGGTTCCTCCGAGCAAATTCTACTTGGCAATACCCTTCGGTTCTTGTGTTTACTTGGATTGAAAGACAACTGTTCGGTCTTGTGAAGATCTGATTTAAAGTGGTCTTTTGGAGTAGGTCCCGATATAAAACAGGATGCATGGGATGCTGCACCTTTACCTCCACTACTCCTATTTCCCCCATGTTGAGAACTACCTTCTATGGATCGCAAACGTCTTCTTGAAATTGTGGTTTTTGTTGACCCACTGGTTTGATCAGTGGGACATCGTCGCTCGGGCTTAGAAGATTCCTGTTCAGTGAGTCTGGGGGAGAAGCGGCGAGTCAACCTAGAATGGAAACACTTAGTAGATGGAGTAGTTCGGGTTTCCCTGCTACTTGGAGTGTTCCCTTTCTCACTACGAGCAAGACAGAAGTGAGAGGATTGTCCACTTTTCTTAACTTCATCCACCGTGGTGGCCAAAGTCTCTGTCTTGTGCTTGTGCGCATTTCCATTTATTGATAATTCCTTGAACTTGTTTCTGAACATATCAGTGGAATTTAGACATAAGTGATGCCTTACCGGCTAAAATATAAAAATAGTTTAATTACACTATAAGTATCTAATTGCTCATAACAAATCAGTTTAAATCCACCAGATTCCTTTAATTCTTTCAAACTTTCAGTTAACTCATTCCAAATCGAAGTAAGTTATATTATCATAAAAATGCCTTACATTCCAACCACAGATCTACAAATAATCCAGTGATGCACTAAATACTACTTCATTTTAAAATTAAATATTATATTCAATTATATTCAATACTCTAGAAAGATTACACGGCATTCTACAATACAAATACCAATGTATTTTGTTCTTTTCACCCAAATTTTACATTCTCAAACTAATTTATTAGTTTGTGTTTATGCACAATGGTACAAAATGAGCTATCTATACTGTTCCAATGTCGAGTATCGAACCCCTATTTTTAACCTCTTAGCCTCTAGTGAGCGAAAAGTATTTAAAATTGAACAGGCGTGAATGAATACTGACGAAGAGTCGCTCACCGAAGATTCTAATTGCGATAAACGTCTTTCATTAAACACAATTTCACAAACAATTCTGAGTATTGAAATATTTCAAAAAAAAACAACAAAAAAAACATCAATTAACCAACAGTAACAAATTGCCGCTTAAAGATATCGTTTTAAAACTACAGAATTAATAATTGTTGGATATACACAAACATAAACAAACAAACAGAACATTACTTTCTTTAGTCCCCCATTCTACTTTACTCATTCAGAAAGTA